GACCGAGATGAACCAAACAACTATATCATCATCTGATCCCCTCCGTAATCTAATTATGTTACATTTCGATGAACCAAACGCCATCTTATTTTTTTAGGGGACAACCATTGATTTTATAACACTGTTTGCTTGTTGATGGTATTAAATGGATAGTTAAAGTACATATCCTTGCGTTTTTCGAATCTTACCATGGCCTTGTTTAGATTGCAAGTTTTTTCACTCTCTCTCCATCACATAAAATCTTTGGACACATGCATGGAGTATTAAATGTAGATAAAAAAATAACTAATTACACAGTTTGATTGTAAATTACGAGACGAATCTTTTGAGCCTAGTTAGGCCACGATTGGACAATAATTGTCAAATACAAACGAAAGTGTTACAGTGCCAAATACTGATTCCTAATCCCAATCTAAACCAGGCCTATAACGGTATGAAAAGAAGTGCGTGTGCATAGGGTAGGAGTACAGAGTGAGTATACTACTACTAGTAGGTAGTAGGCGTTCGTTGGAATTTGGAAATGAGAGGGAGGGATTATTGGCGCTGCGATTAAAAAACTATCAATAACAAATTACAGAACTCGCTAATTAATGTTCAGAAAAAAGTACGTACTGTTCGCTAATTAACCCGGGGCAGCAGCGCCCTGTAAAATAAGAAAATTTGAAAAATAAAAATCCAGTAGCAAAGATCGAGGAGAGAGGGTCTTCAGGCCTGTTTGGTAACACGCCATGTCAGGCCAACCAAACATCCCCGAACCCTCTTGTTTATTTATTATCGGTGCGCCCTGCCCCGCACCGCCAGTCCACCACCGGCCACCGCAGCAGAGCAGAGCAAACCCTCCCCTCGCAGCCTGCACCACCAGCGGCGCCACACCCCCCGGCGCCGCCGGGACCAACAAACGGAACGAACGCAGGATCACCTCGGATCTGCGCCTCGCCGGACTCCCAACGAACGTCACGTCACTGAACGGACGCGTCGCCAGATTTGACAATCGCCGCGCGCGCTCACACACCCAGCTCGCGTCGTCTCCGGCCTGCCAGTGCCGGGACCGGGGCTCCTTCCATGCATTCGCCGAGGTCGCGCATTCGCGGCCGCGATCCGCACCCACACCCACACCCGCCCTCGGGTGGTGGACGCCACCGCCGCCGGTCACCGCCTGCTCCGCCCTCCCCGCAGAGGCGCACCCCGCCGCCGCGGCGCGGCGACGATCCCCACCCCGACGTCTCCGCCCCCGCCCACCACCGCATCCTGCTCGAGGCCGGCCGCCTCGCCGCGCACTACCTGGTCGCCCAGGGCGTCATCCCCGAGCATGTGCTCCGGGCCAGGGAAGACCCGCCCGCCCCACGCCCCGCGCACCCTCCCGCCAGCCGCGGGAGAAAGATAGACGACGGCGGCGGTGGCGGTGGCGGCGATCCGAGATCGCGCCGGAACGATGGGGACTGGGCCCGCGTCTGGGAGGATGACGACAGGCAGGCACGGAAGGCGACCAGATGGGACAGGAGGAGCCACAGCTTTGACGAGAGGCGTAAGTACCACGACGCCGGCCATGATGTGGACAGGGGCGCCCGCCGGACTCGAGACTATGATGAGCCCAGGAGACCTCCGATGTCGAGGTCCTACTCGCATAACGATCGCCGGCCTTCCGCTGATGGCGGCAGAGTGGATCCAAGGAGCAGGAGCAGGACCAGGAGCTACTACGCTGGCAGTGGCAGTGGCAGCAGTAGAGATTTGGATCACACCAAGGTGCCAGACTCTGGCATTATTCGTGCTGCTGCTGGTAGGGACTTTGACGTGCACTACCGTCATGTCGATGAAATGCCAAGGCACCAGCGGAGGGTGCCTAGTTCAGTGGTGGTTGCAGAGGTGAATGACAGTGCCGATGAGGAAATGGCTATCGAAGACGGGGAGATGGTGTCAGAGATCCACGGACTGAATCGCACTCGAGACATTTCTGAAGGCGAGGAACCAGACATTTCTGAAGGTGAGGACGGTGAGTTTGCAGCTGCTCGCTTGAATGGTGTTGAAATGGATGCCACCCACACCCAGCACCAACTGTCTGATTCTGATACCAATGTTCATCCGTTGGAATCTGTTGAGGAACCGGCCGTGCATAGGGGGTCCCAGCTCAGCAATGCCGAAGAGGACAGGGAAGCTGCCAATGCACCCATGGTCATGGATGCTTGTACGAGGGAAACATTAGGTGAGGACAATGACTGCTCTCAAGCAAGGGATGGAATGGTGGCTCCACATCCACAGAGTGAAGGCGTGGCTGGTGCTGGCGATTTTAACAGAGATAAACCAGAGCTGCCAGCTTCGTGCAGAGTTTTTGACCTCAACGTCGTCGAAACTCCAGATGCCTGTGAAATGACTGAGATCTCTGGTGATCCTCAAGCAGATCTTGTTTCTGATTCTGTGCCTGATCTAGTTGGCCGGATACACCAGCAAACTAACTGTCATGCTTCAGAAATTCAAGGTCAAGATGAGCGTGCAGGGGATAGTCACATGTCGAAGAATGGGCATGACTTGATTAGGTATGATCTGAACAGTGAGGCTGTTGAAGATGCACAGGATATTCACCTGTTGGAGAATGAGAAATTACTTCTAAGTCATGGCATTGATGCGCATGATATGACTAGAATCGAATGGAGCAATGGGCATTTACATCTGAATCAAAATGCAGATGGGCTGGAACATGAAAACGACTGGATGGAGAACCATACTGTGATTGGTGAGCAGCTGCTGCTAAGTGATGGCATGGATGGACATCCTGTCCGTAATTATCAAATGGCGTCAGAACCCAAGCGTTTACCTATGGGTGTCTATGATTTGGATAGCTACAATCTGAAAAGCGAGAAAATGCTTCTAAATGATGGTGCAGACAAGCATGCACATGATAGTTGCCATTTGAGGGATGGGCAAATGCTTCTCAATCAGTCTGCGAATCGACAGGCTAGAATTCACAATAGAGCCAATGAGCGAACAATTCCTGTGATTAATCTCGAAGATGATGATTATGAAGAGCAGTCTGATATCAGGGAGTTTCTCGAATCCAAGTAAGCCACTTTCGATTTTCTTTTGTTGTACTCTCAAGGGAAAGATAAAAAATCCTTCACATGCATCTGAACATGTTCACTATACACACCTGTAGTATTCTGCAACAGCAAACCTCAACTTTTTCTCACGATCCTCAGATTTTGTTGGACCAAGATCACGACCTTTTATTTGCCTTATATGGGATCCCTTTACAGTTGGTACACCTGTTCTGTGCTAACATTAGCTTTGTTCTTGATATGTTTTTGTGTGAACTGTCATCCACAAACCACAATTCCTGGCTCTGCATGGCCACATGATGCAGTGAACACTGCATTGGACATTTGGACGATGAAAAGTACTTGCTAGGTCTCTAATATACCGGTTTGTTTTTAGTAGCATATAAACATGTTTGTGCTATGGGAGAGCATACTATCGAACGGTTTTCACATAATCTAAAAATGTTTGTGCTATGTCTCTAATAAACTGAATTCATACACAAAATCGAACGGTTTTCACATATTCAGCTGCTCTTCTGCTCATGCTCTATTGATTTCAATACATCGACATGGATGAAACCAAAATGGTTGACTGTTTGTACTAGATGTATGCGTTCTGCATACTCAACGAATATTTCGTCAGATCAGGCAGGCTGTGTTCTTGTGTATTTGTGCTGTCGCGTGACAGTTGCAAACAATAATAATTTGTTGAGTTCCTTGATTCGCCTGGTTTGTATTGAAAAATGAGAACCTATTTGTTCCTTAGCTTGTTTTTGTTGAGAGTGAGTGAATTTGACAAGTTTACTTTGCTTTCGCTGACTGCTGGGGTACTAGAAATAATAGTAGATTGATTATGACTTGCTAACTTATTACCTTTTGTTTGTTGTGTGTTTTGTTGGTCAGAAGCTATCAATGCCTGGGAGTGGGACCTGCCATTCTCTGAGCTTGGGAAGTGGGCAAGTGGCCATGTTGTTTGCCTAGCCGGCTCCGAGATTCTGCGTCAGGCAGTGCAAATATGTCATCCTGGAGCATGGGAAACAAGATAGCATTGCGCGGGGCTGATCTGGTGAAGTTGGTGGGTTCGTTCATGCAATGTTTTTTTTTAGATTCCCAGAGCCAGAGCAGAGGGTGGTAGACTGGTAGCGGTACTCTTCAGTTTTTGCTTGCTAGAATTTGCTGGTAGTAATTAGTGTAGATGTTTAGGTGAACAGTAGGTGGCGCATGAACTTGAGCAGCAGCAGCAGCAGACTATGCTGCCCTTTCAGGTTTGTTGTTTGGTATTTATTTGCCCTGTACTGCTTGGCTTGATATCCTTGTTGAAGATTCTTGAGAAACGCCGGTTCGGTGTGTGATATAATAATTATTAATGAGCATATAATCGGCCTGTTCGCTGGTTGGTTTCTGGGTTGATTTGGGCTGGCTGGTACTGGTTTATTGTGAGAGAAAAACACTGTTGACTGACTGGTTTGGGCTGGCTGAAACCAACAAGCGAACAGGCTGAATAAGTGGGATATGTGTGCAGTGCAGTGCAGTATAATACCACATCGATCTCTCTCTGGTGATGAATGAAACCGATCGATTATCCAGGCAGCATCTGTAATGTGAATATGTGATGCATCCATCCATACATATACGATGCGAATACGACATAACATAAGGTTTCCTGTCCTTTCCGTTTCCATGCTGGTGCCAGTGCGTGTGCGTGCATGCATTCTAGTTCTAGCTTTGATTTGCTGCCGAGGTGGATTAGGTGATGCATGGCCACATTATGTATCTGCCTGCCTGGCGGGTGGCGGTGGCGGTGGCGGGCTGAGCCAACGGGAAATGGCGGACTCGGTTTCGGTTGGTTCGTGGCCGGCGAATGGCGGACGCACGGTGGGCCGCGTAAAACTAGAATATGGGCCCATCCATGTAAGTTAATGGATAATCTGCGGCCCGTGTCACTGATGGTAGATCACCCTCGCCAGCCCAATGGGCCTTACGTTTCCGTTCTTGCTCCTGGGCTCCTGGCTGCGGAGTCGTCGTCTTCTATCTGGCTCGGGTCTTGAAGCTACACCACGCTCGGCAAAGGAAGAAGGTGCGGCTGCGACACACACAGTCTTCTATCTACTGCCTCTGATCTTCGCGTCACGTTACAGTCGCAGATCTTCTTCCGGAAGGTGAATGCAGATCGCGGCGAGGTGCCCAAGGGCAGCGCGGAGATCTTCTTCCGGAAGGTGAAGTTCTGGAATGACGACGAGGCAGAGGAGGCGCCCCCAGTCTTCGTACGTATCTGTTACTTGCTACTCCCGCTCTCTTATTACCAGGCATACACTTCCGGAAGGTGAAGAATGGGCATGACTTGATTAGGTATGATCTGAACTGCAAATTTTTTGACGAGCATTGGTAGACAACTTAGCAGCAGTAACTGTGATTCTTGCCTCGTGGTAACTGAATGCTCTACTTGCAAGCTTGTGGTTTAATCGGAACTAGCACTTTGATTGTGTGAAATGTGTGCACTTATAAACTGATAAGCAGTGTCGAATTGTCGGTTGAGCAGCATTACCTTATAAAATGGGATGGACATCTAGCAGAATTTGAATTGTGTGTAATTGCCAAATTTCCTTTCATGTTATGTAGCTTATGTTTTCGTCCATTATCTGTTACCATCAGGTACCGTGCAATCTCTAATGGGCCGTTTGGTTAAAACATGGAATGATACATTTTGTGTGTGATCCAAGTACTGTCTTGGACGGGCGCTTTAAGATGAACTGGAGTAAAACTGGGTGTGATACCCTGTGTGGTTTACTCTAGCTACTCTACATATGTTTAGGATTAACAGGAACTATGCTTATTAAGGAAAGCAAATTTCTATTCAATGAAAAATGGTTTGTAGTGTGATGTGTAGTTGTCTCTTTATCAGTTGTGTATGAAGCCTTTTGTGGATCATTTTGGTAAATTTAATACTTGACTTTAAACAGTACATTGGCATATAAAATACTTGACTAAACTGAAAGAATAGCAGTCAGTTCATGTGCGTATGGAAAGACAGTGATTCCACCTGTGATCTGTTTATTGGTGCGTTGCTTTACTATTTGATCTGACAATCGGTATTCTTACTTTTCACTATGGCAGAATGTCGATGGGGTTAACTATATTCATGTCAAGGTCGCCGGACTATTTTTTGTGGTAACCACAATGGTTAATGTTTCTCCATCCCTTCTCCTGGAACTTCTTCAAAGGATTGCACGTGTTACAAAAGATTATCTTGGCGTTCTCAATGAAGATTCACTGCGGAAGAATTTTATTTTGGTGTATGAATTGCTTGATGAAGTCATTGTAAGTACTCTACACCATCTTTCCTCATGCCACTCTGAACTCGTATCCTTTGTGACCTGTTTTTTTATTCACTAGCAAAGCCTAATGTGTAATATTCAACAAAGAAGTTGTGGGCTTCCACAGCGATTAGTATGATTCATCTGTTTATGGGAATGCTTACTACCATCTTATGTTAGCATTTGTTTGGTTTTGCTAACAAGTTGAATTGTGCAATCAGGACTTTGGATACCCACAAACAACCTCTACTGAGGTTCTGAAGTCGTACATATTCAATGAACCCATTATGGTTGATGCTGGAAGGCTGCCACCACTTGGTCCTGCTGCTATGTTCATGGTAACGCTTGTGCACATTACTGCAAGTTCTTGACTGAGGAACATGTGTTCCCCATGCTATTTTGGCAGTTGCATAGTTTCATTTAACATCCTTGTCTTCTGCAGCAAGGCACAAAGTGTATGCCTGGTACAGCTGTTACAAAATCTGTTGTTGCTACTGAGCCTGGGGGGAAGAAGAGGGAGGAAATTTTTGTTGATATCATTGAGAGAATAAGTGTGACATTCAGCTCGAGTGTAAGTACCGGTCTATGTCATGCCTTGTCGTCAGTGGCGGAGCTAGAGAAATATGGGGGGTGCGGCCGTTCCTTCATAGCAATTACTTAGATATATATGATCTCACGGTACAGTGTAACTTAATAGCGCTACGGGCAAGGTTTTAGCATCAATATTTGAACACAAGCAATAATGATATATAATAACAATGAAATAGCGGTAATAGTGCTTACCGTTTACCAAAATATAGTTAGAGAATGAAACAATTATATGTAAAAAAGATTGTTGTGGCATTGACAAAATGCAGTCCTCAATCACAAGATATTCATTGGCATAGATAGAAAAGAACAAACCCTTCAATTTTAAGCAAAGACTCAATAGTATGATCAATTGAAAAGTAAAAATCACATCTGGAATGTCGAGGCAAAATTGCTGGCTAGGATCTCTTAAATCCCCAGAGCTAGATGGTCTTTCTAGAATTTTTGGGATCAATATATGCATCTTTCTAGAATAAAAAGTCAGATCCTAGAATCTGGACAAACTACCAAGAGGGCAAGAACTATAAAATTGAAACCAATTTGTATGTTCCGGTTGATGGAAATTGAAAAAATGAAGAACCTTTGAAGTTGCTTACTTTGCCTTGTGATCAAGATTGAACGGGAAATAGAACAGGGTAGCGGACAAACTGCAATCCTGGTGAACGTGCGCTGAGTGCTGGCGGCTAGCTGTGTCACGGCCATCGGCCGGCCGACCGCCTGCCACCGGACTTGGCCATTTCGCGTCGAGGTGAGAGAATGGGCGCGGGGGAACTGCGAAGGGAGACAAGGGGCGCAGGAGGGGAGGCACCGCTTGACTGCGTGAGTCGAAGCGCCGGTGGACGGTTCCTTCTTCCGTGCGGAGCTTAGCTGATCTTTAGCTACATGGGTAATTGTTGGGCTGCTGTGGGCTTTCTCTATTGGCTGAGTTAGGCTGTGGGCTTGTGGGTGCAGATGCTTGGAATCTAATGTTTTCAAGTCGTCCAGTCGAACCTAGTCACCATGGAGCCGACTAGGACGATTAATCACGATTAATCGCGATTAATCGGATGACTTGTACAAATCGACGGTATCCCTAATCAGTCAGCAGGGACCGATTAGGACGATTAATCGTGATTAATCGCGATTAATTAGACGACTTGAAAACATTGCTCGGATCACACGGGTGCAAATACGGTAGAAACCAGTATACTACAGCGTATTTCACATTTTGGTCTGGGTGCGGCCGCACCCAGTCGGACCTATATGGATCCGCCCGTGCTTGTCGTTACTAATTTTTTTCTCTTCAACATCTCAAGATATTTTGCTTTTTTCCTTTTTCTTTTGTTGAAATTATTTATATATGTCCCAAATTTGTGGTTCTAAATGTTTTAGATAGTGATGGTGACCACTGCAAATTTAGTTTTCATATATCATCATCTAGTTTTGGTTTGTTGTTGCCTTTACTGCCAGAGCCTACCCTGTTTGCCATTTTGTTCCTTATATCACTACTGTTAAAGTAACTTCTGTGTTCACTATTTTTAACTGGAATAAATAAAGATGGCAGTCACTAGTGCATTGCTTTTAAACTAGGGGCCATTGAGACGAGTTATGACCATTTAGTTCTCAATCTTACATATCTTATGATATGATCTTCGCCCACTTCATTTTGTTACCTCATTTATTTTTCTATGTATAATGCTGTCTCATAGTATCCTTTTTCATGGAGCACTAATGGGCCAGTCGTTTCATGACTTTATTTTTTTTCATTTTCATTAAACACCATATACTTACATCTGAGATTGACGGAACAATTCAAATGAAAGTTACCTCACTGGCAATCCGGAAATCCGTCTTGCTCTCAATGAGGATTTGAGCGTTGGAAGAACTGCATCTTCATCATACGGTACGATTATTAGCTTTTTTCCTTTGACAACTAGCTTAGGCAAACTATAATCTGAATGATATATGGATATGAAACAAGAAATATATTTCTCCTTGTACATCTTTCATGATGCTCTGTTTCCGTAATATTGGAGACCAATCTATGAAGCTTATAGTGTTTCACTTATTCTGGAACTCACAATGTGATTAGTTATTCACTGCATACATTTATAGTCACTATACTTATTTGCATTCCAGAGTGTTTTTGCACAAGTGATTCCTTTAACGAAACTTGAATCTACTCACAACTTGAACCTCACTTATTTTTTTTAGCATGCTGCTCTTTCTATTTGTCCAATTGTCATGGATATATTGTCGAATGCTGATCACATACAATATTACATTTTTTAAAGACAGATTACAGAAGTTCTTCTGGAGGAGGAACAGTCATTCTTGATGATTGCAACTTCCATGAGTCAGTACATCTGGACAGTTTTGATATTGACAGAACTTTGACTTTAGTAAGTACTCAAATAAGGCTTTTCTGTCTGTTTGTTTATGTTTTTGCAGAACTTGAGCACTATATTTCGAGTTTATCACTCCCTCCATTCCAAATTATAAGTCATTCTGCCTTTTTTAATATAGCTTTTGCTATACATGTAGATATACACTATGTCTAGATACATAGCTTTTACTATGTATCTAGAAAAACTAAAATGACTTATAATTTGGAGCGGGGGATTGCATAGATACCGCCTGACACTACTGGATGACCCAAGAATTTAAGCCGCCATTTCGTGTAACCGCACTAATTGAAGAAGCTGGACCATCAAGGGTATGGAATGCTTGTCTTGCTATTATGCATTGATGAAAACTATGGGTCTTAATTTGGTTGCTTGTGCTGATTTGAAGCTGGACCATTGGTCAAGGGTTTTTTGTGAGAGGAAACAACATATTGTCTTGGGCTTATGCATTGATGAAAACTATGATTGATTGAATTTGGTGAAACTACAGTTCTTTGATATCTACACAGGCTGAAGTTCTACTGAAAATAAGAGCAGACTTCTCCACGAATGTCACTGCTAACACAATCACAGTACAAATGCCAGTGCCCGCATACACAATGAGGTCAACTGCAGTTATATATTTATTCCTATGAAGTTAAAAAAAAAGTGAAATATTGGCCGATGCTTATATTGTTAGCTAAAGTTCCCCCTATCATGGGTTACATTGCAGAGCGAGTTTTGAGTTGGAAGCTGGAGCAGTTGGACAGAACCGATTTCAAGGAAGGATCCAGGAGACTTGAGTGGAATCTAAAGAAGGCAAGTGCCAACAAGGATATGTACATCTTGCATAAGATGATATGCATTTGCAATGTTAACTTAAAACTAATAACCAGTTTTCTGTAGCTTGCTAAACAATTTTAACTTCACACTACAGATTGTTGGTGGTTCTGAGCACACCCTTCGTGCAAAGCTGACATTTTCCCAGGAGTCACATGGTACATGTTTTGTTGGAAGCATTACTTGTACCCTGGCCTGGCAACATCATGTAATTTCCTGTTACGCAACTTGCCCTGACATTCTTCTTTTCTTTGTGAAATGCAGGAAATATCACAAAGGAAGCTGGCCCAGTGAATATGAATTTCACTATACCGATGTACAATGCATCTAAGTTGCAGGCAAGGCCATATACTTTTGTATGGTACATTTGTGGGTTGTATCCATTGGCACTGCAGGGCTTAAGAGTGTTTTTGTTGTCCACTAGAAAAACTATTTGCCTAATCATTGTATCATGATTAATTATCTTTTAGTGCATTTTTTTTTTTGCTTTGCCGTGTGCTTTCTGAAACTTGTCTCTACATGGTGCTATACACTTTTAGATATGTAGTTGTTATGATCCTCCAAGGCCTTAATTAATTGCTCAAAAACATTGACACGCAGAATTGTTGCAGAATGTTTCTGATCAACTATGAACTGTATTACTCTCCTGCAGGTCAGGTATCTTCAGATCGCAAAGAAATCGAAGGCATACAACCCTTACAGATGGGTGCGATATGTAACACAAGCTAACTCCTACGTAGCTCGTCTATGAGGAACCCGCATCTGTACTGTACACTTGTTTCCAGTCCATTTTTTGGACACAGTGGCTTGTGTTTGTAACTTTATATAGGAATCCGCAATACCACTCAGCTCCTGTAGTTGAACGTGTTTTAGGGACAATTTTTTCCCCTCTTGCAATGTGCAGATGAATCGTTCATGTTTTAATGCTACAAAATGGATGAAGTTCTTGTTCATGACACTTGTGGGACATTGGGACCTATATTGTCTTACATAATTTCTGTGAAGTTTTAGAAATTATGAACTCTCAGTTAAGTTAATTATTAAGTTCTTTCTATTAAACTATTAATAATGTCTTTTCAGTTGATTTCAAGTCCTAAACTTACTTGCAAGGGTACTCATGTATATCCCTTTTCTTCTTCTTTTTTTCCAAGAAAGATATTTGGTATGAGATGGTTTTTTTTTTTCAGAGGTGGATATGCAGTTAGGTCGACGACGCATGCAGATCGAGTTGGGCATGCATGACCGGACACGTAGACACGCGTGCGGATGTCGCATGCAACACATGGTAGAGACCCCGACGGCCCGACCCGCGTACGTACGTGTTGGTAGCGGTCGCGGCAAAGGTCGGCGTTCATTGAGATTTGAGACGTGGACGCAGCACGTTGTGGGCGGACGGGTCACGACTCACGGGACCATGCACCCACGTGCATCACTGACACAGAAAATTAAAGGCAACTTGCTTATATATTAGATTAGAAACATGGCTTAAAGCATCTCTAAAAGTTTTGCAAAATTCACTAGCTAGATCAATAACGTCATCAAGTTAACCAAAAAGAGTAGAGATCACCTGCCATAATCATTGGTTTACCAAGTAGAGTAATTTTTAATGAGCTTTTGGAGATACTCTAACGGTGCGTCAATCAATATAAACGGTGTGCAGTGCAACGCAATGCATTGTGTAGCAGTAATGTTGGTAGCTGCTAGCTAGCTGGTCCTTTTTCTTTTTTCTCCATCAAAGTTGGACCATCCATCCCATCCATGAGCATGACCCACCGGTTCCATTGCTTCTCCTCCATCCCATTCTTCAATTATTATTAGCAGTTCTCTATCTATTTTATTGCAACAACAATTGTTATATATAATAAATGGAATAGTATTGTATAGTATAATGGCCATGCATGCAATTAAGGTAAACGGATGGGAGTGAGAGCTTAATTAGGAGCAATGCTGTTGTTGATTGGTCACTTCATCTGATCTACTTTATTAATTTCCCCGGCCCCTTTTAACATTAAATAAATATAATTGTAATAAAACACATAGATGCATGAGAATTGAAAAGGTTGTAAAGCAGAATGCATGGCTGACTATTCAGGCGTGTTTGGGCGCGTTTGCGACCCTGGCCCGGAGGCCCGGCTGCGCCCGTGGGCTGCAAGTTGACATGTTTGTGGTCGATGGCCCGCAAGCGAGCCTGGCTTCGCAGAGCAACACTCGACCTCTCCGCCTGGCTCTCTGGAAACAATCGAAACCCTCGTTTCTTCGGAACCGAGCTCGTCTGCGACGCACGCGGGCGATTTTGGGGGGCGGCGGGGTGGCTCGCGCGGGCTCTGGCGGGAAGGGGAAACGTCTTCGCGCGCGTCCCTGCTCTCCACTCCCGCTCTGGCCGCCGCGCGCGAAGCGAAATGGCGGCGATTTCGTCGGCCTTTATATACGGGTTCCCACTCTCCACTCTCTCCTTCTTTCACTCGGTGCTTGCTCTTCCACCTCCCTCGTGAGAGACCGGCGGTGAGTTGTGGTGCGTGGCGGCGGCGGCGACCTCCGGCTGGTTGTGGGTTAGGTCACCGGCGCCGAGTTTCTTCGCCGTGTCCCCGCTCCGGCTGCTGCTGGGACTTCGTGGCAGCGGTGTTCCTCTTCTTCTCCGTCCGCATCTGCTTCGTCTTTTTCCCGATCTGCATCCTCTACTTCCAGATCTGCCTCCTCTCCGTTGTTTGGACCCCGAGCCAAGGTGAAATCAACCCCCAATCTTCTTTTTTGTGGTGCTTCTTGAACCTATTAGGGTTTCTTGTTCGTTGCTGTTCATGATCTGTTAGGGTTTCATACTTGTTATAACTGCTTCATGCTCCTATTAGGGTTACTTGTACCTTGCTGTTCTTGATCTGTTGGGCTCGTGATCTGTTATGGTTGTTGATCTGTTCCAGATTTGTATTGTACCTTGCTGTTCATAACTGTTTGATGCAGTTGTTAGTGTTACTTGTACCTTGTTGTTCTTGATCTGTTAGGGATGTTGATCTGTTTCTGATTACTATTGCTCTGAGTTTTTTGTTCCATCATTGGTCGATGATGTTGTCCACATAGTACTGGGAGGCATCACATACAAGATGCAGTCGTGCTTTTGTTGGCATGCATTCATTTCACATTCATGTTGATGCCTAGTAGGGTACATTAAGCTGAAATCATGTTACATTTTTACATGCTTGTAGATGGATTTGTCTTTGAGCCATGACATGCTGTGTAGGAAGGCAGCTGCCTTGACTATTGTTATGGTTACCTTTGTATCCACTAGGGTTTGAAAGGAAAACCCCAACACAAACCCCACCGCTGATCCTATAGCACTGGCCCCCTTAGGGATGAAAATGAACAAGATGCATGACAGAGAACACTGAGAGAATGATATACAATTTCACTAATTCAGAGTGTATTTCTATGATTAGGATGAAGAGAGTTGCTTTTTTAAGTTAGTGAGAACTTTTAGAGAGAGGAGTCTTGTCACTGATAGGGAGGGGTGTCGAGAAGAGCAGTTGCCATGTTTTTACATGTTGTAGGGCACAACCAAAGATTTAGGGTTGTCCACCAGTCCTTTAGGAGGTCCATCCAAACTATCCACAAGCACTTCCATCAGGTGTTGTATGCTGTGGGTGAGCTTAGGAATGAAATGATAAAGCCAGCTAGCACTACCACTCACCCAAAGATTCTTGGAAGCCATACATGGAATCCATATTTTAAGGTAATTGTATACCCTAGGTTCATTAGTTACATTTGACCTGTTGCAATGACTGACCCATGCTTTTTAGGATGTCATTGGCTTTATAGATGGCACTCATTTCCTAGCAAGGGTTCCTAGGCGCATGCAACAAGCTTTTAGGGGTAGGAAAAAGGATCCCACCCAAAATGTGATGGTAGCTGTGAATTGTGATCTAAAATTCACTTATGTCCTCGGGTTGGTGGGAGGGCTCTGCCATGATGCAACTGTTTTTTGGCGGAAGATCTTTGTAGCTGTGGAAGATGGCTTGAGTTTGCTGTAAGGTAATTGCACACCAACACTAATTACATATTCCATGGCCTATTAACACACACTCTCACAGTAGATGTCTTGTGTAGGTAAAATGTTCTTGGTAGATGCTGGGTATGCATGCAAAAAATGGTTTCCTACCTCCCTACAGGGGGGTTAGGTACCATTTGTC